AAACGTATTTAATAATGCATGTTTATTTCAGAAATTGGTGAGTATATGGAGTACTGGAGAAGAAACAAGCAGAGTTTTAGCGTTCCTTTCTATTTACAGATTGTCCTACAATCTGCAGGAATCTATGTTGGAATTCAGTCTGAAGGTAACATTACATTATTTTTGTAGCTATGCTTTGAATTCCTTTTGAGAGTAGTTTTGTCACAAATTGCCACAAAGCTAGGGAAGCTATAATTTGAACTCCTTTTTAAGTAGAGGAGCTATGTCATGAATTGGCACAAAGCTAGGGAAGCTATAATTTGAGCTCCGTTTGAGATAGAGAAGTTATGTTATGAATTGATGCAAAGCTAGGGAAGCTATAATTTGAATTCCCTTTGAGATAGAGGAACTATGTGATGAATTGCCACAAAGCTAGGGAAGCTATAATTTGAATTCCCTTTGAGATAGAGGAGCTATGTCATGAATTTCCTCAAAGCTAGGGAAGCTATAATTTGAACTTCTTTCGAGATAAAGGAGCTATGTCATGAATTGCCACAAATCTAGGGAAGCTATAATTTGAATTCCTTTTGAGATAGAGGAGCTATGTTATGAATTGCGACAAAGCTGGGGAAGCTATAATTTGAATTCCCTTTGAGATAGAGGAGCTATGTGATGAATTGCCACAAAGCTAGGGAAGCTATAATTTGAATTCCCTTTGAGATAGAGGAGCTATGTGATGAATTGCCACAAAGCTGGGGAAGCTATAATTTGAATTCCCTTTGAGATAGAGGAGCTATGTGATGAATTGCCACAAAGCTAGGGAAGCTATAATTTGAATTCCTATTGACATAGATGAGTTAATCGTCAAAGGAACATATCTTATTTTATTTTTACAGCAAATGTATATGGGGTACGTGAGAAACTGCAAGTTTACATCACCCAGTGTTTTGCCCATGATTAATTTCATGCAAAGGTCATTAACAGAAATATTTGCTATTAATATCCAAGTGACGTATCAACACGCATTTATTTACATTAGACAGTTAGCAATTCATCTAAGGAATGCAATAACTACAAAGAAAAAGGTAGGTGGTCACTTAATGATGATTTATTGCTTTCAGGCATAAATATTACTTAAGGTATATTCATTGTCAGATTTCATTTGCTGCAAAAAAAAATTTGGACTCAAGTGAGTCTTTGCTGTTATTGCGTGCGTGTTTGTGTTGTCAACCTTGTGACAACTTTCAAAACCACATGATTTATTTTCTTAGTTGTCTATCTTAAACTTTGCTTAATGTAGACTAGCAGTCTCTTGTTTATTTTTCGGTGTTTTTAAAATAAAATAAACAAGGACTTGTGAAGCCCGCTCGCGACATCAGTGATGATTGTCATGGGTCTGGGTTCAGTGTGTGATGCAATGACTAACAGGGCTAATAATATTCTTTTTGTCATACTTGAATTAGTCTATCTACCTCGGTTTAGAATATTGAACAAAATGCTATTGACAGAAATATTAGTAGTATTCATGCACAGCTTCTTAGCACGGGATAAGAGATCAAATATCTTAGCCCGTTTTAAGAAAAAGTGCGTGAACGCTTAGCACGAATGCTAAGAAATGCTATGTATGGATTAAATCTGACCAGTTTTTAAAATCGGGAAATGTGCACGAGCGTGTAGTGTAGTTCAGGCTAAGAGCCTTAAATGCCATTGTATTCAATGTTCATTTGGAAGTTTTACTATTATATTCATAACTATTCATTTCATTAAACCCTTTCCAACATGATAATCAACGCAAGCACATCAAGAGGTATTGTTCTGATAATACTACTGCCTGTTACCGTAAAATCTGTATTAGAAGCCGCATCCCTAATAGAAGTCGCATCCATTCTATTTGAATAATTGAGAACCAAAAATTCATCATTTCTCATATGTGTAGATGCTCTAATAGAAGCCGCATCCCCTCTGTTGCATTGTACCATTTTAATAGAAGCCGCGGCTTCTAATACAGATTTTACAGTACTTTGCAATCTGTACTCTCTAAATTGGTTTTGGCATGGTTTTATAACTATAGAACTAACATGTACTATGGCTTCCGATAGACCCATGATATTAGCTTAAATCTCAGCCCATAATTCATGTAGCATGAACACTACTATGTAATTGGGCTTTGTGAATTTTTCATCTTTATTTGTTTGTTTTCATTTTGCTGCTAGGATACGTATCAAGCTGTTTACAACTGGCAGTACATACATTGTTTATATTTATGGTGTCGCGTACTGAGTACGATTCAACCCATTGGTATGTTACAGCCGTTGATATATCCCCTCGTACAGATTACAATGGGAGCAATTAAGTAAGTCATACATGTATCATGAAATGTTTCTTGATAACCAAAATACTAAGACATCAGATTGATATGATTGGCCAATGTATTATGACATCACATTAATGAATAATGTATATCAAAATGATACACTATTTCATCAAACTATGATTTTGGACTGATATACTATGATTTTGGACTGATATACTATGATTTTGGACTGATATCTGTTGCCAATCTATAATACACTATGAAATCAGGCTAAAATACTACGATGCCAAACTAATATACCGGTACTATGATATTTGACTATGGTTGCCTAACTGATATACCATGAAGTGAGGCTAAATTACTATAATGACAGACTGATATACTATGACATCAACCTGATATACTATGACATCAACCTGGTATACTACGACATCAACCTGATATACTATGACATCAACCTGATGCACAGGACATTATGTGAACAAAGGGTAATGTGTGAACACGGCATTATTAGT